AAGTCGTTTTGATTGTCAAATTGAATAATTAACACTGATACTATTATAAAAGATCCGTTATAAAAAAAATTATGAAATCCGTGAATTTAGAGTATCAGAAAGTTATCATATCTTCCAAGGAAAGCTATCTGTCATTCATTTTCGCTATTGTCGAAATCAATTTATTTTACTTATTTTAAATGGAAGGCGTTTTGATATTTATCATTAGCCCTTTAGTTAACTTCGATCTTCACAGAGAGGGGGGACAGAAGAGTGATTCAAAGATGTAAAAGAGACAAACACACATAAAGGCAGAGAAAAGGTAAGAAGGGTACTGTGGAAGTGGTCGAATATGGCATACAGTGGGGTGATGGTAATTTGAATTCGGAAGTTAACGGCTGTTTATAGACTTTTCTGCAGTAAGAGTATGCGTTGCCCAGTTATATTACATAAAAAGTTGTTTCATTTACATTGAGCTAAAACTTTCATCAATATTTCAAAAATTATTTGAAGAGTTTTTACCTAATAATTAATTAATTAATATAATGAAAAAAAGCCTCATAATTTGTTTTTCAATGACACTCACCTGTTAGGTGTAAATTAAAGAAGTCAGTTACTACACTTTATCGTATCCTGAGTGATACTTTTGATTAAATCTACTGTTATTTACTTTTTCAATAAAAATAAAACGAATCATCGATTACCCGCCAAATAGTTACACCTATAAGTAGGATGGATTTTACATGGCGCCTAAAACCATTGCGCAGTAACTCCATATTGCCTCTGCATTGGACGAAATTGTGACCTCATGACCTCATTAGATTTCAATAAATTCCACGAGGCCATTCGACATCCTCACATTTCTTACCATTTCACTCCTACATGCAATGCGTATATTTAAGGGCTTTATTTTCGCCATTTTTCTTCTGATTGGAATCAGGTGTTCTCCGGTAGATGGTCCGAGATCACTGACGCGAGATAATTTAGAATCTCAGGAGATTCGGGAACTCGTTAAATCCGCTCTGAGATCTTCAAGTCCATGTTTCGAGTTGGTCAATATTAAGAGTGGTACGGTGCATATTGAAAATGGAATTAAATATCAATTCCAGTTGTTGACTGCTCCAAAACCCTCTTGCAATGCAACCTACTATGGAAATCACATTTCAAATCTCACAGTTCACCTTCCAGCAAGTCGGTTCGCTAGGCCTGTCTTTGCAATTGGTTGAATCCATTCACTTCCCCTGTCGTTAAACTACTTAATTCCAACTCTTCCTTAATTTCTGGTGTCTTTTGACTTAATTATTGCCAGTGTGTTAAAAAAATAACTTTGTTATAATACATACTTTCCCTATTTTTTTCCAACGATTCTTCTAGAATTCAATCATCTGCTTAATTGTCGTTGGTCGCACCAAGATGAGATAACTCCCCATAAATCATTTAAGCCAAACAGGGAGAAAATCGAAATTCGAATCGTCCATTTGGATGGAGGGAGTGTGCGGACAATGGATATAGTACGGGCCTTCACAGTGAGTCCAAAGTCACCTGTGGGTAATTGACGTATGATCGTAGTGTCAGGGGGGGGGATAACAAAGAATGCGAAAGCCTGGTAAGCTTTTAATTCGTTTGAAAACATTCTTTGCTCATGCTGAATAGCACAAAGCTAATTACAACACTGATTTCATGAATATAGGCAGATTGTCCTTAATCTAAGCTAAGGTGTTGTTATTGTTCCCAACAGTGACTAATCGGCAAGAACTCTACTCGTAGAAGCCTGGGTTAGTCATTTAGCTCCAAATCAGTTTTTTAAGTTGATATTTCAAGTACTATAACTGGCAACACATGGCGAAAGAATCAGTCTGAATATTTGTACAAATCTCTCTCTCTCTCTCTCTCTCAAGTGAAGAGAAGCTGCAAATATTCCTCATAGGTCTTACAAATTTACACAAATTTAGTAGATGAAAAAGTTGTTTTTAAGAAAGAAACATGATAAGTCCATGACAGACGACTAAACGTCGAATTTTGTGAGCTATCCGCATGATGTTCACTCACGCGATAAATCGCCTCAAAAATGTGCGAAGTTATCGCAAGCTTTCTTGGTTTACCAAATGATTTGGATACAATTGAGTAAGATTCGCGTTGGAGATACCACTGTGCATTTAACTTTGGAAATGCAAAAATCTACTTATTCCAAAAGTGTAATTCCTTTGAGATATGTTGTTAATTGACTCTCAAAGTGAGGGTAGAAGTCAGATCACAGAACTGGACACGCACGCTTGGTGAGCGCTGCTCTAAAACAATAATTCGGGGGTATAAAACTGGTGGAAATGGTATGAATTTTGTAGCGATTCGTTACACGAATAAGCCCCGACTTATCTTCAGTAACATGGGGTGTGCGATAGACTTACCTCCACGTGGTGCACCCTGGGCAACGTATAGTCATACGGCAAAAAAGTCTATTAACTGGCAGTTGACTTCTCACTTCAAACTACCCTCACCCCATTGTACGTCATATTCGACTACTTCCACAGTACTCACCTCACCTTTTTCTACCTTCGTCTTTGAAGCACTCTTCTGTTCCCCCCCCCCCTCTCGACTTTTTTTCCTACTTTGATGTTCCTTCCCCTATGTGAAGACTGAAGTCAACTAAAGGGCTAATGATAACCATCAAGACGCCTGCCATTTGATATAAATAAATAAATAAATCTTCAGTAACATTCATGGCAAAATCTCCTGAGTAAGGAATGGCTCTCGAAATTAGTTAAGCTATCGCAACGGTGTTCATTTATGCATCAAATGCAGACGTTTTGGTATTTATCATTAGCCCTTTAGTTGACTTCGAGCTTCACAGAAGAGAAGGAGCATCAAAGTGAAAAAAGTCGAGAGGTTGGTGGGGGGGGGGGATGGAACAGAAGAGTGCTTCAAAGATGTAAAAGAGGCAGACACTAAGGTAGAAAAAAGTGAGGAAAATACTGTAGTCGAATATGACATCCAGTGGGGTGATGGGAATTTAAAGTCAGAAATCAACATCCGGTTAATTGACTTTTTTGCCATATGATTATACGTTGCCTAGGCTGCACCACGTGGGGGTAAGTCTATCGCACACCCCGCTGTCTTAACGATGTGGGGGGGGGGGAGGAGGAAGGAGAACGCACGATGTGGAACACATCTATTTTGGCTGCGTTAGTGCTGTGGTATGGAAAACTTGCACAGAGCCTAATCATTGCATACTGTTTTGGAACTTTGACCTTGTAATGACTCTCGGTTTTAATTGGTCGAGAGGTCTTTGCATCATGGTCGCATGCTTCGAAATGCTCTAAAGTGCGTGAGATTGCGTGGTTAAATCACCTTATAATCAATTACCACGCGATATATTAACCTTGAATAAGCATAACAGTAAACAACAACTTTTTCATCTTTCAATTTGGCCAAAATTATTTATCGCAAATGGCCTTAAAAATTTAATTTAATTTTGCTAATATTAAATTAAAACGTCTGTTGTAGGAAAAATTTGCAAGATTTGTGCGATGATAATAACAGCATCTACTTACAGAATTTTTTTGGAGTTAAATTCACCTTAATCGCGCCTACTTTTAATTGCGCGACTAAAATTTAAACAATAAATTGCATGCCTGTTGATATATCGCGGGATGTACAACGTTATCAAGGTCAACCAAAGTAACCTCTCTCACGCGCGCGCGCGAGAAAATACTCTGAGCAGTGCGGATGTGCGGATCGATTGCGTAGCGCGAATGGACGCGTTCGTACGGGCAGAACCCTTCTCAGATGTGGATCAAGATTGGCGTCGATTAGCTAATTTCGGGATCAATTTTAAGCAAGAGGGTTTTGCCAGAGAGAGGCCTGTTAACCTTTGGCCAAAAAAAGTTTTTTTTGTCCAGTAAAGTGTTGCAGAGAACTCCTGTCACAGTCTCGTAGGACGGGAGTGGGAGGAAAACGTCTATTCAATCACATCCTTCCTGGATTCAATTCCGTTTAAGAAATTTAATAGATTATTTCACTTTAAAGCAACGCATGTACCCGAACTTTGTGCTTAAGAACATTATCATCTAACTACAAACGATTCCTTCGATATTTATGAGGAAAATGGTCCATTCACCCACTTCGTTTCCTAAATCTTGTGATAGCAATGCAAATAGGTCCTGGGCACATGTAAACTTTTCTGATTTTCTGCTCTAATTTGTGGGAACGGCTTAGATTTTTGCTCTATTTGAAGCAAAATCTCAAGTTAGCATTTTTTGGAAATTAGTTTCATCCGTATGCAGTTTATACTCCGAATAATTTTTGTCAAGTCGTGTCATCTTGTGTAGGCATTGGAAACATTTATTTATTTATTTATATCAAATGGCAGGCATTATGATAGTTATCATTAGCCCTTTAGTTGACTTCGGGCTTAACAGGACAGCTATCATTAGCCCTTTAGTTGACTTCGGGCTTAACAGAGGGGAAGGATCATCAAAGAGAAAAAAAGTCGAGATGGTGGGGAGTTGGGAACAGAAGAGTGATTCAAAGATGTAAAAGAGACAGACACGGAGGTAGAAAAAGGTGAGGTGAGTACTATGGAAGTAGACGAATATGACATACAGTGGGGTGTTCTAGTAGTTTGAAGTGAGAAGTCAACTGCCGGTTAATAGACTTTTTTGCCGCATGAGTATACGTTGCCCGGGGTGCACCACGTAGAGGTAAGTCTATCGCACACCCCGCATTGGCAACATGGAGTCGACCTGGTGAGAGCCTTGAATGTTTCCGCCCTCCAGGTTCAATTTAATAAAGATTAATCAAGAGCATCTACTTGACCTGATTTTAGTGGCCCTTGATAGATTATGATTGAGAAGTAGTTTCGGTAGGGGGAACTGAGAGAGGTTGATACAGTGAGGTAAAGTTCGCGAAAGAGGTCGACAAATGACAAGTGTGTGTCTGCGTGTGTGTGCGCACGCTGACAGATTCAAAATATATTTGTTTGAAGGCGAACGAACTTATGAAGGTTATGGAACTGAGAACGAGTCTCCGAGATTCTAATCAGAAAAAAATTCATTTTACAGCTCTAATCACAATTCCTCTTTATTTAAAGTTATTTTCTTTTCGCTAACCTAAAGTATTGTCCCACACAAACGCCAAACGGGGGGCATATGTTCTTTAACTTCCTATTCAAGTAAATGCACTCATAAAGAATTTAACCAATTACTATTCCGATTATAAAGTACTCACATAGGAACTATGGCTGTTACTCACCCCTAGATTTCATAGGAGTTAAGAGGATATCAAATTGGGTATTATGGGCCTAGGTCGGGGAGCGTGGTAGAATTACCTCCACGTGGGCATCTATACACCGGCAGTTGACTTCTCACTTCAAACTACCATGACCCCACTTTATGTCATATTCGACTAGTTCTACGGTACTCACTTGCTCTTTTCTCTAACTGTCTCTTTTACATTATGTGAATCACTCTTCTTCCCCCCTCTCCACTTTTTCTCACTTTGATGTTCCTCCTCCTCTCCGTGAAGCTCGAAGTCAATTGAAGGGCAGCCATTTGAGATAAATAAATAAGTGGTCATAAGTCAGCACAATTTTCAAATTATTTCTTCCAAATCCCCCAGCACCCCCCCCCCCTCCTCCCCGCCTTAGTCATCTTAAGTAGCGCACACTTCTAACACGGTGCGCCTGAAATTATTTTTCCCTTTCTTTGAGAGAACAATTGCAATTTAACATTCGAATGGCCTTTTAGTAACCTTTTCTTCAATCGCTGAGCTAAGCCATTGTGATTTTACAAAGTATTGTCAAAGAATTGTTTAGTTCTAACTCCTGACTTCCATCTGCTTTTGCAAACTCGCCTTTCCATGGGAAACTTAATAGTGATTCTATAATTATTTACAAGTCAAGAATGTGGACGCGTGTAATGGGTAGTAATGTTTTAAAATCAATAATTCCTCTTAAATTGCTTGAAATGAAGAACTTGCCTTTCGAATGCCACTATGCGGATGATGTCCAGAGATGACAGCGGATATATCTTATTCTCAAATCACAAAGTCCATGTAAACACTTCACATGTAAATTCACATTAAACTCTGCTGAAAAATTTTACTATACCATCTTCTGAAATCCTGTTTTTATTTCGTTCTACCTCAATAGATCTCCCTTAAGTGTAAACTTTATCATGGAAATAGTGGTGTTAACGATTAGAAAATTCCACATTTATTCTGTGCAAGTAGAGCAATTAACAATTTCAATGTGGAAATATATTACAGCCGAAATGGAGCTTCACATATTAGAATCAACCGTCCAACATCAAAATAATGAAAAAATCAAACCATTTTCTTTGAAATATTTCATTAAAAATAAATAAAGTAAAGAAATTAGGAAACTAAATCGAATATCTTCCAGTTATTCCATTTGAAACGAAGGTTCAGTAGTTCTGTCGCTAGGAGGATGAATTCCGGTAATTGGATTTGTTGGTATTTCAATGCCCCCTCCACAATCAGGCTATATTTTTTTATCGGTACTTTATTTCATTGACGCTTTGTATTATTCCCCCCAAAGAACATTCAAGAATTCAGCTCATGGATTGACCTTCCCTCCAAATCGACCTTGACTAATTTTTGGATCTGTGGTGAGTGGAGACGATTCTGGCCACTTCATATGACACTCTCCGGGTTCAACCACCGAAAAGGTAAATAAGAAATAGACTTGGTAAAGGTGCAGCTTCATGGGCTATTGGAGAATTTCTGTTTATTTAAAACAAAAAGCTGCACTTTTAGCAGGCAGCTCATGAAATACAAATAGACGTAAACAAAACAGTTGAGTAAGGTCAAAAACAATTGCTTGGGGAGCTATTGACTTCATTCTTATTGTATATTTAATTAATTAACTTAATTAACGTCACTTCAGAGTTGGTCGGCGTTATAGACAACAAATGTCAGTCAACATCTGTTTACCATTAGCGCTTAACTCTCAAATAGAGCATCAATGGGTGATCTAGATATGCGTGTGTGCCTCCACACCGAAACATAAACAATTCCCAACGTGCACGTGATGACATTCACAGCCCAGAATAATTGTTAAGCCAATTCATCTAAATTATCTACAAATAAATGGAGTGGCTTTCCCTCGCCACCTCCAAACTCTTCTTGCTACGGTAGTGACAACTTAGCATGATTATATTCTTACCCGGGAGTGTGCGATAGACTTATCTCCACGTGGTGCACCCTGGGTAACGTATACTCATAGGGCAAAAAGTCTATTAACTGGGAGTTGATTTCTCACTTCAAACTACCATCACCCCACTGCATGTCATATTTGACCCCTTCCACAGTACTCATCTTACCTTTTCTCTGCCTTTGTGTCTGTCTGTCTGTCTCTTTTACATCCGTGAATCACTCTTCTGTTCCCCCTCTCGAATTTGTCACACTTTGATGTTCCTAATCCCCCCTGTGAAGCCCGAAGTCAGCTAAAGGGTTAATGATAACCATCAAAACGCCTGCCATTTGAAATAAATAAGTTAATATATTCTTACTGAAAGCCTTTAAGGTCCTTATTCTCGCATCAAGAGAATGTAAAACCATTTATGTAGGCGGGATAAGTCGGAAAATGTACGGTTCAAATTTTGGCTGGCAAAGGGTTAATAATGACTCATTTACATGTCTGAATCCTCGACTTGCCCTATTTCTAGGTCACAGTGAGAGACTTGGATGTCTGAGGACACCAATTACCGTTGGCTTAAAACCCCCACCCCCCCCTCCCCCAAAATAAGGTGATGAGAATTTTTCAATGAAGAAGCGCGGTCATGGCTAAGGCGTGTGAAAAATTTTCACCCAATCAAAAGCAACTTTGACTCCTTCGAGAAGGTTCTGAATTAAACTTCAAATGACGACATCTTTGCACAAAAATGTGTAATTAATATTGACTGGGATTTGCCAAGGAGATTTGTAGCCTCCAACTCCGAACGGATGCACAATGATGGAAAGATGGTAAACCCACACACATGTTAAAACCTCGAAATTACAGGACTTTAAGGAAGTTTGGAGGTTTTCTCACCCACGTCACAATTCTCAACAGCATACTCACTTTCCTTCCTAAAAGTAAGTGGAATCGATAAAGGCAGGGTAAAGCCTACAGATTCGATAGTTAATTATACACCAATATTATAGTTCCAGCTACCATTTCTTTTCATTTAGTTAAATAACCCAACCGTAAATTTCCATGATACGAAAGTTCCAGTTCTTGGATTAACCATTCGTTATGTAAATTCTGGGCATTAGTACAAAAGCATATAAATTTCAACCTGTACTGATTCCTTCCTCAAGGTAGTGTGATTATTGCCACTCTTAATAATTCAATGACTTGTTAATGGAGCTTTCTTATCGCTGCAGTGGTCAACATGCTCGTAAAATATGTAAATGCGCGTCACACTCGGCGACGTGGATGACTTCTTACTAACACGAGTCACAGAAAGGATAGTGAAATGTGTCAAATTAGAGCGGTTTAAGAATACCTTCCCTCCATTAAAGGCTATGCTCCTAACAACTTATTTTACACCACTATTTCACATGCCTTAGTTTTAGGGTAAATGATTGGGAAATAGAAAGTCTCTATGTGTTCTAGGCCACAAGTAATTCTTAGGAATTTAATTTCATTCTAAGACGCAGAGCACTATTGGCTACCCCATTGAGTTAAAGAGCGAATCAGATTGCAGCGTTGACGTACCCTACACAAAAAACTGTGGCGAACCAATCACTAAGGACTTCGATGCAACGAGGAGACAAAAGACACAGAAATAAAAAGCACAACTAAGATTTTATAAATTAATATATTACAAACAATAATGACAAGACAGAGAAATTGTTATTAGAAAATGTAAATTTGGATCTCCATGAAAAATGCATTTTAGCTATGAAGCAAAAATGAATAAGGAGAACAAATCCGATGAATAGAAATTCAAATTTAATCCAAAGTTAATCTATAACTCGTCGACCAAAAGCTTCTCGAATGCATACTGCTTTTTAGCGTTTTGATCAGCCGGTTCGAAAATATTTATTTTATAGACTTCTGGTATAGCACCTGCTTGTTCGGCCACACATTTTTCAGTTGGAACACTCTCCACTTCAGCATGGAAGTTATAGTCAATTCCGTTAATGACTTGAAATGTCCCACTTTGGATATTTAGGAGATTATACTTTCGGCAACCACCATTTTGCTGGGCAAGTTCCTCCAACGCAGATTCAACTCGCGCCCTTGTCACGGCATCTCTAAGAGCCTTTTCTTCCAAAGCAATAATATCCCCCAACGGCTGAACAAACTGTTTCTCCATATTCTCAAACGAATTAATAAATGGGACTACGATAATAGAAAATAACAACAGAATTGCTCCACCTCTCATTCAGTTGACTTTTGCCATTCTGCAAACAAACCACAGAGCAGCTTAGTCCTGGCAGCCAATCACATGCGGCCTATCAGCTACCAATCATATTGTCACATCACATGAAAATTTACACAGAGTATGTCTCCTATTTATTGCAACTCAATAGACCAGGAAGATTCTAAGCACATCAAAAAACAGCCCTTCTATCTTAAAAAACTATGGATTAGTTTCTCTGAATCCAAGAAATTACGATTCCTCATTCAATTTCCAAAAAAATACATTCTACTAGAGTTGCTAAATTTTCATTGAATTGATCAATCCGATTTTCTTTTCTAAAATAATCCTCTTCTAAAATTTTGTTGAAATGAAACTGGTTTTTCTCGTTAGGACTAGTTTAGTGCTTCTAAGGCAAGAAATCGTGGCTGGCTGCATATAAAGGAAGAAAATTGATCAAACCTAACTTCTGGTTTTCTAATTTGAAAGACGAATGTTTGAAACATTGTTTGTGCATATACTTCAAAATGTAACCAACATTTAGCAAAGAACAACATATAATTTAGAATAATCTCCTAAGACATCAACATCATTTAACTACCCCAAATGACCTATAGGTTCACTTGAATTACTAGATAAGCAAAATAACAATGAAATCCACTCACTGTGAGAGAATTTTAAGCCATTTTTTTCATTCAGTAAAATGGCTGATAAGTTGTCTTTGCGATGAAACAACTTATTTCATTTATGCAAATGGACATTTTTTAAGAAATATCCTGTATATTCCTCGTTTATATAACCCTTTATCCCTGTCGCCCATTCCAGACCATATTTCAGTTGAATGACCTCCCATTTCCAAAAGGAAGACGAAAGTAATTCTATTGATCTCTTCGTCTGTACTGTGAACGATCTGCTTGATTTAATACTTAAAACATCCCTCACTTTGTTTAGGTAGGTACGTGAGCAAGCACAGATTCAATGCGAGATCATCTTTTAGTTCTTTTAATTGCTTCTCTGGAAAGGAACATGTTTCCACCTTAGAGTTCCCGTTCAACAACCAGTTGTGCAACTATAAGGAAGGAGATTTGAATTAGAATAGCCGCATGCAAAATCATGTCTAGGCTACCAATTCCAATGTCACAAAGATGAGTTTTCTTTCCTGTGAATTTATTTACAAACCACAGTCTACTTAAATCATTTCAATAGGGTTATGTCCAATGTAGAAAAGCATCGAACTACCTTTCTTTCACCCATAAAGAACCATATTAAGCTCAGAATTTATTATTAAAAATTAAACTGACAATGTGCCTGTTCCCTAGTACAGGAATCAATATAATGAGGGTAACTGACAGTGAAATACCTCAAAGTATTAACTAGATACTGCTATTAAATAAACAGGATTTCATTAACTCTGAAGTAATTTGCATTACTATTTAACTCTCTCCTTAGACTACTAAGCAAATTTTTTATGGACTGTTCATGACGTTTACTCAAGTCCACACTAAAACTACCATCTCAGGTGAACATCTAAAATAAGGCTACCGAGATTTCGGCTAATTTTTTGAACTTTTAGTGTCCATAGCTCGTAACCTAGAGCTCATGATAGATATTATGACAATTAAGGATTTACTTCCGTTTAATACTAAATTAAAGGAGATGAGATTCTAAGATCCATTTACGAGTGCGATGAATTGGCTCTGATTCCATATATACATTGTAAATTATTTACTGGAAGTATTTAAAGATGACGATTTTTAAAGCGTTTTCACTAAACCTGCTTAGTGAGATTAGAGCTGGAGTTAATTCCTCTGTTTTATTTGTGAAAGTTGGAGAAGGTTAAAAATTAATTAAATATTTGCATTAAGCGATTGTTCTAGTTCTGCAATAGTCGTGACATCTTTTTTCTTCAGCATATTTTTAGAAATACCTCTTCTGATCATATTATAACATGATCATTCAGCATATTCACATAAATACGCCACCTGATCGTATCGGCTGCTCTAATCACGAGCCATGCAATTTACATTGACCAATAAAATTAATTCAAAAGCTGGTCCAAAATTCTGATTGGATGTATCATAGTCCAGTTTTTATAATTTTTTTAAAGCTCTGGTCAGTTAATTGCAGACCCATGGAGTCAACAGACGGCTGTTCCATTGTTTCTAGGAGGACTGAACAATTAGGATGCAATGAAGAACTTTCATGCGAGGTCATTAAGTCTAAAGAAATGCGCAAAAAGGTAAAAAAGATGCTGAAACTGGTTAATTCAACTCGTTGTGTTCCCCTCAAACTGGTTGAGGTTGTATCAGGTGAAAGACAGATCGTGGACGGTATCAAGGAAAATATTCTCTTGAGACTTCGAGAATCCGGCAGTAAGCAAGTTCTAGAATATAACCTCTGCATGTATGAAAGGGCTAACGATCGAAAGAACGTGGAAGTTCGACTCACTCTCAAGAGGCCAACACAACCGTGCTGAAATCCCCTGAAATCTCCTTATTTTTCATAAGTTTTGAGACGTTATGTGATTTTGCTTAATAAATGAAATGCTAAAAAATTATTGATATCGATATATGCATGACATAATTAAGTAACTTATTTTTTTAGAGGAAATTAGTTGAAAGATCAATCTTTTCTTTTTTTATCGAAAAATGTGCAATCAATTTCTGTTTCAAAGCTACAATTCAAAATTGTAACTAATTATTAATTAATCATATACAGCTGCAGCTCAACAGAATACGTCTTCAACACACCTCTAAGGCGTTACAGAATATATAGGCTTTAGGATAGTTAACAGCAGCTAATTAGTCGACTTCTGGCTTCGAGTATTTTTGGGTTTCTGTCGTTTTCTGAAGGGCTGGACACGACGATTTAATTTGACTCATCAGGGAAATCTCAACCGGGACGGACACTATGAGGATTGACTGATTGATAGTTCTTTCTTGACTGGATGGTTGGTGATGCATATCCGTTCTTAGTTGGTAGAGCGATCATAATACATTAAATAGATCAGGAATTAGAAATAAATGCAAAAAATTGAAACATTAATGATATATTTCTTGCAAAATTTTGAAGAAATTAAGCCATTTTAACGCTCAGCATTTAAATGTAATAAGCGTGAAAGGTCAAATTGGACCTTTTAAAGTTCTGAAAAGTGGAAATTATGAATGAGTAAAAAAATTGGATTTGAGTCAATCAGGATTAAGTTCTTCAAGTACCACTGTGAGCTTGGTGACAGTCTTGAATTTGCGCCAATGCGAAGTGGAGCTACTTTGCTCTCAGAGATTAATGAAGGTCTAAATAAAATTTTGGAAACCCATAATTAGCTACCCTTGAGCAAATCATTAATTCAATAACTTTGTCCACAGAACGCGCGTGTAATAAGAACATTTGTCAAATAGAGAATCACAGCTTTGTATGTTATAGGCTTATCAGAAAGGAGATAGCACAATCAATTCACCTGAAACATAACTCTATTCAAATATGAATGCATTGAATCGTCAACATTCTCCTGACGAATTGTTTTAGAGTGGGTGAGATCATATCCCTATAGCTCAGGGCCTGTTGACCGATTTGCTTAATTCGGTGGATGGTAATATTACACAAAATATACTTCAAATTGTGGGGTGTGCAATAGACTTACTTCTATGTGATACCCCATAGGCAACTTATACTCATACACCAAAAAAGTCTATAAACCGAAAGTTTACTTCAAACTACCATGACCCCACAGAATGTCATATTCGGCCACTTACACAGTACTCACCTCACCTTTTCTCTGCCTTTGTGTCTGTCTCCTTTACAACCCTGTATCACTCTTCTCTTCCCCCTCTCGAATTTTCGCACTTTTGATACTCCTTCTCTCTATAAAGCCTGAAGTAAACTAAAGGGCTAATGATAACTATCATAAAACCTGCCGGGTGATGCAAATAAATAACTATTTCAAGTTCATATTTATCGTGTTTTTTTACACAGACCAAACTGAATTGAAAATGTCCCATTTGCATTTTTTTTGAAATTGATAATCCGAAAAAAATTCAAAATTAATTAATTAGGACAAACAAACAACTGAATTCAAACAGGCCGAAATGTATTTTAACATATTTGTTTGATCAGAATTTGGATATTTTGGCAAATTCTCTCTGAGCTAGGGCTCTCAATAATGCATCGGTTTTGATTACCGTTTGCCTTCAAAATAATGCATTGAAAACAATTTCTGTGAAACCCATAATTAAATTATTCGTTCACTGTTCTCTCTCTCTCTCTCTCTCTCTCTCTCTCTCTGTGTGTGTGTGTGTGTGTGTGTGTGTGTGTGTGTGTGTGTGTGTGTGTGTGTGTGTGTGTGGGTAAATGTAAAATTTCATTGAGTCAACTTTAACGAATAATAATAATGTGTGCAAGTTTGCTGGTCACTTTAAGAAGTCATTTGAGTGTTGATATATCAGTAAAGTGATTTGATGTCAGCTTACATTGTACTAAAACAATCATGCTTGAAAATCACAGAAGTATGTCCTGACAGCAACTGATTAAATAAAGTGCTCCTCATATCATAAGACCCCCTACCCCTCCCCCCCTTATCATTCCTCACATGCAAACCACAGCTTGTTTATCAATTATTCGAGTTTCAAATTAAAAACATGCCATATATATTTTCGCCCATGGGCGCTTATTCGGTAGCTTCACGGAAGGGAATTTGCCGTTTAACCACTCTGGGCGGATTTTCGGAAACCCCTACCCCCTCCCCCCCCCTCTTTCCCCAATAGCAGTTCATCTTCCAAGTCAAGTTGGCAAGCGCTCACACAGTGAAAGAGACGATTAAAAAACACAATCCTCACGAACAGATCACAATTGTGAGTTGAAGTTCACAAAGCGGAGAAAATGGAGGCCTAATCACATTTGCTACGGAACCATGGGAAATGCAATGCCGGTCAATAGTAAACAACCCCAAAATCAAGTCCTCTCTCAAGATAATACAATTACTGCAGTCAAGTTTTGGTTTTCGAAGTTTTTGTTATGTATAATCCTAGTGTGCGTTGTTCAGTTAAACAAGGTATTAAATTACGGTCTTTTAATTAAAAGGAGAGGTGAACGTAATCAGTAAATTTCCCCAATTTAAATCAAATCTATTTCACTGATTCTAGCGCACTGAACTGTGGTAGCCAATTAGAGTAAATTTTTTCGCTTATTTCACATTTTTCTGTTGTCTCGATGCGGTCACAACATTTCAAGATTCCACAGACGCCACCTCGGAATCTCTACAATCGCAACTGCCGTGATCAACTTCATCGAACTCTGGAATCAGGTCTCCGCTGAACCAACCTTTGACCGTACCTCTCTCTCTCTCTCTCTCTCTCTCTTGGACAGTCTTTTTCCCGCACTCTCGCCCTCTCTTATTTTCAAAAATATTGTTGTCGTGGGAAAGACAGATAAAAAATAGCAAAGTGCAAATAAACGACATATTGACTGATAATCTCACCTTCTTAAGAGCCACTTATTTCAAATAAAGTGCAAATAATTACCTTCCAAAATGACAGACAAATTCCAGGGCTCATTGATGGAATTTATGCTAAAGTTGGTCTCAGCAGTGACCCTACATTTTGGCATACTTTAGAGAAAATGAACAAATTTTATAAAATATGCGCTTAATTAATCTTCTTTATCCAGACATGATAATTTGACTTATTAAACGAGTTAAACATCCTAAAATAAATTGAGAGCGAAAGGTGTGTCTGTGGTTGATAGATCCCAGTCTAGGCAGCATAGTTTAACCGTTAAATCCAAAATTTTTGTCTTTCAATTCAACAAAGTGCTATTAGATTTTAATCTAATCTTTTCAATCAGGTAATCAATTTGATTATTATTCCATAATTGTTTAAAATAAGCCGCTTTTAAACTCGCGAGGAAATTTTTGTGGCTTCAATCTATGTTGGCACTTATCATCCCCAGAAGAGGAAAATTTTCTAATAAGTAGCATCAATGCTTTAAAATTATTTCTAATTTTTGCAATTCAATAATTTTTTAATATTTTTGTTTTCCTGTGATAAAATCAGAATGTAGTAAGTACAAGAGGTGAATGTTCCCTGTTAATAAATGACGAATTTATTGCACTCTAGAAAATTCCCGACGTGTAGTCAGGTTCTCATTCCAGAAGGGCCATAAAACTTGTCACCCAAATATTGGAGCGATGATTAGATCTCATAGGAATGAAAGTTCAATTACCAAATATGGCGCCCTGAGATGATGCCGTCTTGCTTTCTTTGAATGTGCCGACGTTGGATTTTTATTTAATTCAAATGACAGACGTTTTGAGAGTTATTACTGGCCCTTTAGTTGACTTCAGGCCTCACAGAGGGGAAAAACCCACACAAAGTGAAAAATTCGAGAAGGGGGGGGGGGTGGAACAGAGGAGTGATTCACAGATGTTAAAGAGACAGACACAAAGGTAGATAAAAGGTGAGGTGAGTACTGTTGAATATGACATACAGTGGGGTGATGATAGTTTGAAGTCAGAAGTCAACCGCTTGTTAATAGACTTCTTTGCCGAATGAGTATACGTTGCCCAGGAGGTAAGTCTATGGCACACCCCATGTTGGATATAGACCGTAGTAAAAATTATTTCCCCCAAAAGTGATAGTCCTTGACTCAACTATTTCACAATCGTTTTAACCAATCGGATTGAAAAAAACTTAAACGAATGGGAAAGTGAAACCTGGAACATTTTATACATGGTGGAAAAATTATTATGGAAAAAGAGGGTGTTTAAATACACTTTTACAAAAGATATTAGCCAATGGTACTAGGAATTTTGTTTATATAAACTGTTTGAAGAGATTTCCACAGACAATTATACATTCCGAACTTATTGGAGTCTGCTAAAACGTAGTTCTTCCCCCCCTACATTATTTTCACGAAAGTGCCACCAGAACCCTCGCTAAGAGCCTACTTCTAGTATATTTTCCGATATATAGAGTTCAGAAGTCTGAAGAAGAAGTTGAAATTAAATTACTTATTCCTAACATTTTTGGACTTTATCATTTTTGGTCAAGGCCGATCACAATTCGAGAGTATCGATTAATTGGCGTTCCGAACTAATTAAGCATTATTAATAGACAGTAGCACCAGGTATATTGTTAAATTTAACTGAAATATCGATTATTGAAGGAGTTGTGTTGAACTTCAAACCATGTAATGATTTCTTAAAAGATGAAGAGAATGGGATATTTTGATACCAGACTTAACCACATAGGTACGTCTAGCCAAATAGATTTTCTCAGTTACTCATGTATATTACTCAAGGGGTGTGCAATAGACTTGCCTCCACGTGTTGCAACCTGGGCAACGTATACTCATTCGGCAAAAAGTCTATTAACCGGCAGTTGACTTCTCACTTCAAACTACCATCACCTCACTATATGTCATATTCGACTACTTCCACAGTACTCACATTAACTTTTTTCTACCATCGTGTCGGTTTTTTAA